ATGAATACATCAGAAATAAAACTCATTAAACATGTTATTACCTATACTATATCATCTTATACTTTACATGCTAACTTCCAAGCACAATGAAAATGTTCTTCTCTTAGTACTGTACCTAGTAGTAGTGTGTCTTTTATGTGATTTAGTTACTTCTTTTTGTTATACTTTTATTACAATTAGCTAAAATTGAGATGTAGTTTCACAATACGGCGTAATAAAGTTATTATTATTATTATCACATATTGATATTAAGATAGTGGTTTGAATTTTAGATATTTAGATTGTGATTGTTTGTCAGAAATTTATATAGTTGTTCTTGCTACTTCACGTTTTCCGTGTTAACTAAATTTCTAAAATATTTTTAAATGCCCTATAAGTTTATTTTGGGCATTTATTTGTTTACTATTTTCGTTGCATTTCATTTTACCCAATGTTTTATGAATTATTTCAGTTTTCTTTTTAATGTTGCAATTTTGTGTAGACTTTTTATGCATATTTTTAAGTAGGCTTATTGTAGGTATACGATGTCTATGTGTGTAGATGACTACTGGTGACTACTTATTTAATAGATTATTCATAATTTGTTTATCATTTTCAAATATTCCCGAATATTACATCATGATCCTTATTCCCTCAGCTGACGGGAGTTCTTTCTAAGCTTTCTTTGATTCAAAAATGTGGCAGGCTTCGAAAATATGGGCATGGTCATGTTTTTGTAACTCAATGTTTTTGTAACTCAATGTTTTTGTAACTCAATGTTTTTGTAACCCAATGTTTTTGTAACCCAATGTTTTTGTAACCCAATGTTTTTGTAACTCAATGTTTTTGTAACTCAATGTTTTTGTAACCCAATGTTTTTGTAACCCAATGTTTTTGTAACTCAATGTTTTTGTAACTCAATGTTTTTGTAACTCAATGTTTTTGTAACTCAATGTTTTTGTAACTCAATGTTTTTGTAACTCAATGTTTTTGTAACTCAATGTTTTTGTAACTCAATGTTTTTGTAACCCAATGTTTTTGTAACCCAATGTTTTTGTAACTCAATGTTTTTGTAACCCAATGTTTTTGTAACTCAATGTTTTTGTAACCCAATGTTTTTTGTAACCCAATGTTTTTGTAACTCAATGTTTTTGTAACTCAATGTTTTTGTAACTCAATGTTTTTGTAACTCAATGTTCCTAACTCGACGTCGGTAACTCAAATTATTCAGCATTTCCTTATAGTAATCAGTGATTTGAATGTGACAAGAACCTTCATTTCTTGTACTATAGTTTGTCTTATATGTAAATATATTTTTCATAGTGGAAAGTATCCTGAAAAAGATTATGGTGAAAGTCTTAGAGAAGAACAAAATCGTAAATGGTCTTTGCACAAGTAAGTATTCCTTCAGAATCATTCCAGCTACTAGTATTCTTAAGCATTTCATTTGCCCTGCTGTCGACTTTGTCAAGTGGAGCTTATCATCTGGGTGATTGTCTGTCCATCTCCGTCGTCCACGTCAACTTTTCACTTATTTGGCTTGTGATGATATATTCAATTCTGTAATTATGGTGAATAATTTTTGGTATAAAGTTAATGTCTTTGACTTTTTTTTAAAAATGCAAGTCTGACTGATTTAATATTATACTTGAAGGTACTGCAGGTGAACATCTCTTGGATTTGTTTATTTCGTGATGATATCTCCAATTCTCTGATTGAAATGTGCATTTCTAACAGCTGAGCTAGCTCTTCCAATAGGCTGCTTATTGAAAAACTCAATTGCTGGAGAGATGCATATAAATTTTTTTTTCATTTTTTCTACAGTACTGCTAAAGGTGTAAATTTGTTCAAAGAAGGTCGCTATGTGGAAGCTATGCAGTATTTCAATCATGCTTTACAGTTAGACAAATATAATGTGGAGGCATTGGTTGCAAGAGGTGCTTTGTAAGTATCTGTTTTGTAAAATTAGTTACATTGAATAAGATTGTATTAACACTTGCCGTTATGAAACGTAGGTACATTGGTGTAATGTGCAGACATGACTAGTAATGGGCAAGCATATTGAGTAGCAAATTTGCATATTGTCACAATTAGTCTGTGTTAGCAATTTCACAAAAACTTCAAAACTGAGTTTGATCAAAAATTGCTATGTATTGGTGCTGAATATCTTAACCTCTGATGCCATTGCTATGTATTGGTGCTGAATATCTTAACCTCTGATGCCATTATTCTTCTACTGACTGTTGGAAATTGTATCATACATATCCACTTTGTTTAGTTATTCATGATTTTTTATGTTATTAATTTGGGTCGTGTCTGTGCTTCCGTGTGTGCACATTCACGTTACCAGCTTTTTCTTACACATGTATGATCCAATTCAGTTCAGAGTTGGTACAGAGACAGGAATTGATGGTGCTATGATGCACATCAAGTTATTTTTTCGATTCTTCAAAGTTTCACTGTGTTTTTCTTTGATTTTTAAAATTTTTCATTCAAAATTGCTGGAAAATCTGACTTTTCCCGAAATTACCTGAGTGCTAGTACTTGTATGACAAACAGTATCTTTGCCTTGTTACTGTCTAAAATATCAGAAGTTTTTCACTGGAACAGTTCTGTTATTGACAGTGTCCTTGTATTAGAAATACAGTTGTACAAGGAAGTTTATGCAAACAGACATAACACTGACTCTGACACTGACATATTTGCAAATCTGATTTGCATACTTACATGTCATTTTACCTGTTGTACTTGTTTGTTGCTCTCTGGTGTTCTTGCCGAGACCAGGATGGAGAGTGCTATAAACTTGAAAATGACATAGAAATCATGTTTGCCAATTTATGTCCATGCCAAAAACTCGTTAAATTATATGTTGCAACTTTCAAATGACAACAAGTGAAGACAGTGTCATTCATGACTTGTTTGATTGAATACATTTTTACAGCTTGGAGGCCATTTTTTAGTCCCCGTTCAGGCGCA